GTGTGTTAGAATCACGGCAGCAAACCAGCAAAACGCAAAGAACTTTTCACAGTTTCTCCCCCAAACTATTCAACTGTTGAGTAAAGCTGTTGGATGCAGGTAATGTTACCTAAAAGATGACTAACTAGCTAATATCAATACAGAACCTTAAGCTTGTTAACAAATAGCTTGTAGGCTACTGGTGCGGTTGTCTATGTTCAGCTATGATTCATTTTGCCCCCCAAAAAGTTGATTCCCCCCTTCTTGTTTGTCTGGAGCCGGGGCTGAGTATAACAGGGAGTCTCTAAGAATCCACCCCCACCCCCTTCGCTCACACACATCGTTCAACCAGACAGCTATTTGTAAGCCATAGGGGGGCCCAAAAATTGTTTGGAAACCACTGGGGGGGCTCAGGAGAAAAAGTTTGGGAACCACTGGTGTAAACTAACTTGATCTGAGTATGTTTTGTTACCTTGATGCATTTAAACTGGAAATACTTTGAATGGTAAAATACTATTTCTATTGTATGCTACAATGAAATGTTGAGAAATTTAAAAATGAATGTTGAGTACTGGCATGATTTTAATTATCTCTATAATATAAACGTATTCACTATAGTGATAAGAAAGAAAAGACATGTACAGATTAGCATAGAATGATTTTTGATATTTACAAACCCCAGGGTCGATTATCAGGCCTGTTTTACACATGCCAGGTTCCTGTTTCAGATCCTATTCCAGTTCCTGGATTCTGATTCTGTTCATTGCCAACTGGACCAGACTGGTGAGCTAAACCATACATTGAATGAAGAGAAATGTCACATCCTGTCAACTCCTTCCAGTCTGGTAGGAGATATTTAAGCCCACAGCCACACTTTCAGCTTCACTCTGGACTGGACTAATTGGATGCTTTTCCATCATTTCTCTCACCTCCACCAAGGAGCTTGTGGTTGAATTTAGCAGTGGTGCAGCAGTAGCTGAATTGCGTTCTATTCTACCATATTCACTTTATTCATCTGAAAAGTTAGAAACATCTGTCATCTCTGAATTAGCTGTTGTGTATGCAGAACATGAATTGGATTGATAAAGTGAAGAATATAAGTGTGATGCTAAGTGGGAGCAGGATGGTTGTTTTACTTGTGAAACATTGAAATGACTTGCTGCTTTTCTTCCAAAGTTCACAGTTCTGTAGCTGCATTTATTTAGATATTTGGAGAAGCTGATCGGTTCTTTTTTCAAAGAGCTGACAGACTTTTTATTACTCAAAATTACATCTTGATTTCAACATTACAGGTCTCTATATCAGTTCTGTGTGGAAAATCAGAAAGATCCATGTGGATAGAGATGTTTTATTTTCATTCATTATGCGTTTCACATACATAAAAGATGCCAACAGGTTTATTTTAAAAAAAAATCAATATATGGTAAAGGTGGCAAAGTTATAATAAAAGTAAAAAAAGAATTGCATTTTCATCACATCTGTCTTCCATTCAAAGTTTTATTTGAATTCACGTTTGATTGTGTGTCAGCAACAGTATGCTCTTTCATCTCAGAAGTTTTTTTTTTTTCAATGAAAGCTGGCATACGTCATTTTCAAATTGATCCTTTAACCTGTGAATACACACTTTCTTCAGTCATCATCTCTCTCTTTTTCTTCACTCTTGATCTTCTACTATCAGACAAATGTAACGCAGCGTAGTTCAGATCAGGTCCAGCTTCAGTCTATTTAAAAAAAAACAAAAAAAAAAAAAACATTTACACTCAGTTATTTTGTAATACTCGGATGTATTGATTTGGATCACAAAAAAAAAATTCTGATTTAGATATTTACATCATTTTCCATTTGGTTAAAGTTGTTTCTTTTTGGTGAGGAAGAGTTTTCTGTAAAAGTGGCAGCAACATATAATTAGTCAATTTCAGTCTACATGCTGTATTTATTTTTATGTGATTTTATTAACATTTTTCTTGTATCTACATCTTTGACAAATATAATTCAGTCACTGCAACAAACCTTTAAATTGTTGACATGCTGATCTTTGTATTCGAAAGCAAATGAAAACAATATTACAAATTACAGAAATGACCAAACAGATTACTGCGACTATTGTGACCAGCAGCATGTGGTTTTCATCAGTTTTACCTAGAAAACAGAGAAAGTATGTCATTCCCTACAACAAGAGCATGTTATTGCTTCAGAAAAGATTATTTTTAATGATTATTTTAGACATTTCAAATAATTGATTTATACGTACCATTTTTAAGGTTCAGTTCATTTGCAAATAATATCTGTCCACATGTGGCCACAGCACAGGAGAGGGTCTTGGCATCAGATGAGCTGATGTTCTTAGAGAAGTTATAAAAACATCTCTTCTGAGAGTCAGATCTCTTCTCACAATTTTCTGATCTTTTTCCTTCGGTGTAAATCATGTCTGGAAAAGACTTTTCTGATCTGGATCTGAACCAGAACACACTGGGTTCTCCTGAACAGGTTGTGTTCTCAGAGTCAGAGAGGACCGAACACTGCAGAGTCTCTGAGCCTGTTGGCTCGGTGGGACCAGAGACCGTTGTCTGCTGAACAACAGTGTAGTTTGATGTCCTCTGATATCCTGTGAAATTTTATATATAGTAAGCTTAAATAATACAACCATAGTGTTGCTAGAAAGAAAGCATTTTTGTGTCATATTTGGTAAAAAGACATATAAACATGTTTGTCTATTTTTTTATTTGGTTCTGTTCTGTTAAAAAGAATTATTAGACAAATATAAACGGTCAAATACTGAAAAAAAATTAAGTCACAACACTTAATTATATTTTATATAGTAGATGTGTGTTTGACAAAAGGGGTCAGTATTTGTATTAAAGTTATACAGCTCTAACATTAATTCTATATTATTGGTATTTCTTTTGTTCTTTAATTGTATCTTCCAAGTCTGATCAAATGTGGAAGATGGTTATTTTTTTTTTTTTTATCATATGGGAGAACCAATTTAACCACTGTGAAGTTCAGTTGTTGTTAAAACATTTATACCTTTTCTCTCCTTTTAAAATACAAATTATTTAAATTACAACCAAGACTTCTATAATTATAGTAGCACTATATATAATAACAGTAAAGAATAGAAAATAAAGAAAATTCCTATTTATTTTGGGCTTTCAATGTTTTTGCAGAAATCTACAAACGGGGTTTTGCGGTTAATGCCGTTTTTCCGCAGCTTTTCATTTTGGCTTCGTCATTGTTTAACAAATGGGGATATTGTTGGTATGTAGTTTAGCAAAGTGGATAATAATCTCCAAAATATGCTAAGACAAGCTCATTTAAAAGCTCCAACCCAATTAGATTTAGTTCCCAACATAGTTATACCCACTGCATTAGTGTAAAACTTTGCACAGTATCAAATAAATTTAATTTTATCATTTTCTTTGTCCTTTGAGGAACAATTTGAACAGTTGATACTGGAACTGAAATACAGAAACTGGAATAAATTTATTTTGCCTTTCAGTCTGCATTTATTTCATACGTCAGATACAAAACCATTGAAAAACAAAAAAGACAAACTATACTTAAATAATATTGAAGATAAACTTTGCGTACTGGTCCAGGAAAATTACCCAGTGAAAATGTGGTGCTAGGATACCTCTTTACACCCCAAGTCATGCTTCTTTTGTATAATATACATCTTTCAGAAACATAATCCTGTCCAGAAGGACTCAGACATTACACACATGGGTCTCTCTGTGAATTAAATTATCTGTAAAACAATGAAAAAGACAGATGATGATTTACCTTTTATTGATAAATAAGTCCCATTCCACGTAGATTCAAGAGTGTCCCTTTGAGCACAGTGATACATTCCCTCATCTTGTTGAACTGTTGTGGAAATTGTAAGACTGCTACTGTCCCCAGTGTATGTTGCTCTGAATCTTGAAGCATTGAATTGTGATCCATACTTTGAGGCTGTTCTTCGCTGCTTCATAACGATTAAATTCAGAGTATCTCCAGCACTCTGCTTGTACCAGTAAAGCCATGTGTTGCTCTGATATGTAATATTGAATGCACATGTCAGCGTCACAGACTGACCCAGTTCAGCTGTGACCACTGGAACTGATGCATCTATATCAGGAAAAAACAGCAATTGAAACAATAAAGAACATTTGATAAAAACGAACCAAAATACATATTCCACATACTTTAACAATAAAATATTCCATCTCAGTTCATGAAAGTACTTACAGCCTTGATGAAGAAGTAACAATGTGAACCATAACAGAGTCATGGTGACACTGGCTTCGTTCAGAAAAAAATATCCTTTAGTAACTGGGGGAGGTGGGGAGATCGTGAGTGTCAAATGCGTCTGATTGGTTACTTCAGAATATACAATCAAAGGGCATTTCCTGTACAGTTTGCTTCTTTTTTTATGCATTTATTTCAAATGAATGCCTTTATTTCATTTGGGTTTTCATGCATTGTAAGTTGTTTTCTGCTAAAGTCCACTTATAAACAGAAACAAGGTAGTGAATAATCATGACACAATCGCCTTTAACAGAGAACAAAACAAAAACAACTCAGTTCCTTCCAGTGGGACTTATGACACTGGGAGGAGGCTGCTAGTTTCTCATAGTAAGAGCAGTAGGAGCTGATTGCAAACTCTAAGTAGGCCAGCAGGTGTCAGTCTACATGTGATAATATGCAAATAAGCACAAATAAGTGGATCCAAAACCCACTATCAAGTGTGGAGGTTCTAGACCAAATTTACCAGGAATGGCAGGGTGAGGCCAGTGTTTTTTCATGGAGGCACAGAAGAAAAGAATGAAACAAACAAAGAACAGGGCATTATTTCATTTTTTATTGTACTGGGTGAACCAAAGAACCACTTGCAACACCAGAGCTGCAGGCAAATGAAAACTGTGATTCTATCTCAATATGGTTGACGATAAAAGCGTGTCACCTTCATTGTCAATGTATTGTTGAATTAAAAATATGGGATTAAAAGATAATTCTTCCGAGGAACTGACTGACATTTTCTGACAGCAGAAGTGTTCTTAATACAGAGTGTACTTTGTACGGAGCCCTCTAGGGGACATGGAAAACTTTTTTTATTTGTTTTATTTTTTGCATTACCTCCCGAAAGCATTGCATTGTGTTGCAAAACTTTTGCGTTCTCTCACAGTAATGTACTGGTCAATTGAATATTGAAAGTTTTTCTGCTGTAATATAAGGTTTTTCCGTTTATTAGCATCTTGTTTGTGAGATATCTAAAGTTTTGTATATTTTTCTTTAGGATAGAAATGCACCACAAACCTATGTACAAATACAAAAGTAAAACAAGTCAAACATGGGCTTTCCAGCCTTTTTAAGATATAAACAGAAACTTTTCATAAGAAGAAAAAGGGAAAAAATATTATCCAAATTATTTGGATCATTTCAGAATTATTCTCACAGGGTAATAAAGTCATCTGACAGTTTTGTTTGTCTGTTTTTTGTGTTGGTAGTCTGGTTAATAAAGGGCCATTTTCATGTCCAGTTCCATCTCAGCCTTATACAAATGATTAATAAATTGATTTTCAGTCAGATTTTTTGCACCAAAGGGTGACAAAAGTATGGGTTAAGGCTCAGTAAATGTATATAAATTTGCTTTTTTAAATTGACATTTGAGATTATACAAAACAGACTAGGGTGTGTTTGCTAATTTATTGCAAGGGAACAGAAAACTTTAGGTATCGCTAAATAATTACCCACACCCCCTAGGGGGCTCTGTAGCTGATAATTAATCAACATATTTATTATAGGTAAAATTTTCAAACGTGTTTAGAAATGCACCTTGACTTCCAAGTGCTCTAGTAAGCGTTTCTCTAGAGCTATGCCTCTATGTTAGAAAATCATAATAAAATAATTATGGTGATTTTACAGCTGTTATTGAAATATTATGTCACAAGTTGTAAGTTAGCAGTGTGACTCCTTATCGGGAGAATTAAGGATTGCTTTTCTGGTAGAGTTAAGTGGGTTTCATGAAGATGTGAAAATCAAGGATGGAAAGGCAAATAGTTAATTAGTTTCTGTTTTGTTTTCTGAAGCAGTAGTTTGTTTGAACAACCAGGCACCAAATGCAGGTAAGAACTGCTAGTCATGTGGAGTGTTGTTTCCAAATTTCAGCTTGATGTTAGTTCCAGCTTTTCAAACCCACACAGACCCATGATATTTAATCAATGGAAAGTTGAAAATGGAAAATAAAAAAATAACTTAATAATAGACTACAAATAATTAGGCAATCAAGCAACTAGTGAAGACGAACACAAATTCTAAAAACTTATCACTTGATTGCTGCTGATTGGCTGGTTAGTGTCTCTCAAGATCTGGCCCATGAGAAGAACTGCTGCTTCAGAGGGAAAAGGAGGACTTAGAGTATGCAGAAGACCAGAACAGTCCTAAATAGTTGAGCTCTAAATGAAAGCCAGAGATTATGCTGTTGATGGAGTTGCTTAGGCTCCTGGGAGAACGTTTAGCTTGAGTCTGTGAAATATTAGCCTGGACATTACTTTCCTATGCAGTTCTCCTCAGTGCTCCTTGTGGGATTTCTCCCATTGAGCTGGATTTCTCCTGTAGAATTTCAGTCTGGCCAATCAGCAAACAGACGAAGTTCTGAACGATGACTGTGATTTTCTGCATTTTAGAATTGTAGTCTGCCTGTAGTTTTACAATGGCAGCTGAAGAAGTGAACAAAGTCATTCAGTCCATGTTGGCCACGCTTCAAAATATTTAACATTAACATCCACCGAGATTAGCTCTACACTTCTGTCTTCACAGTGAGGGATTGTTGTTTACAGTGCAGGCAATTTCCAGGAAGCTTCATATTGTCGAACTGACGCATTACACGTCTCGAAAATGTGATTAGGTAAAATGTAAAATTTTAACAGTCCACTCCTCAAGAAACCAATAGTTTCTCAACAGCTATGGGAGAAAATAAGACAATATGGCAGTTGAACCTTCATCCTGAATCATGTGGAATACAAATGTAGATGTATTGAAAGCGGCATACAGTCTTCCTAGATGTGATGTGGCTAGATGTTCAACAAAAGGCACATAGTTTCTTCATATCTGTGTCATGATGGTGGGTTTGGTGAGGGAAGACGCTGGCAGACCCAGGATGCCTGATGATGGTTTTAATAATGAAATAATCCAAAAGAACAGAATACAAACAGGTTGCACGGGGAGCAACGGGGAAGACAGAGATGTACACACGACGAGGATCCGACAAGAGACATAGACAACAGGTGGGACTAAATACACTGGGAGGGTACAAAGAAACGAGACACAGCTGGGAACAATCAACAGGGAAGACAGAGACTCACAAGGGAACAGGCTAATAAACAGAAAAACCTCAAAATACACAGAAAACACAGATCACAACAATCTGGACTCATATTTGTGATGTGTGTAAATGAGACTAGAAGAACAAATTGATTTTCCATTAACTCAAATTTAACATTTTCTACTTTAGGTTTAACCAATACTAAATGCTAAAATAATGAGATGTTTTATTGCTTTCTTCAAAATCAGAAGTTCACCTAAATTTCTGTAGTATTTCATAAAAATATATTTAAAACAGTATTACTTGGGTTCAACATTTTGTGTATCCTTTGACAACTTCTCACAATAATTTATTGTAATTTGACCCATCTTGATGTAACAAAATCAGGTTTGCTTCCACCACACTTAAACACAGCTTTGCCAGTTCTGACCACAAATTTGATAGTCTCAAAAAGGTAGCTTTTTGTTCACATGTGCTTTTGCTAACTGTAGTCTTGTACTTTATCTTGCTTTTGGCGTGTTGATGTCTTCCTCTTTGAGGAGCCTTTCAGAAGACTCATTTCCTTGTGGATAAGAAGACGATACAAACATTTCTTAAAAAAAAAAGAAAAAAAGATTGCTCTCTGGGTCCTCCCTGCACAGACGACTGAAACTCTTCATAGCTAAAAGATACACCATCCACTGTTCAACAGTAAAGAGAGGTGTGTATTGTATTTATGAAAATCAGATAGATCCATTCACATCAAGCAGTATCATTTTCCATTTCTAAGATATTTCAGATACATCCAGCAATCCATCAGGTTTGATTTTTCAAACATTACAATATGTAGTTGAATTTGACATAACATTTTGAAAATTATTTTTCATTCATTACATCTGTCTTTCATTCATCCTCCTTCCTGACTTCACAACTTTTATTTGTCAGTAACAGTATGCATTTGCATCTCACAAGTGGTTTTCTATACAAGCTGACACATTTATTCAAGTTGATCCTTTAACCTGTGAATACACACATTCAGTCATCAACTCTCTCGTCTTCTTTCCTTGTGATGCTCTCCCTTCAGAGAAATGTAACGCAGCGTAGTTCATATCTGGTCCAGCTTCAGTCTGTTTGGAAAAACACATTTACAATCAAAGTTATTTATCTAATTTTTTCATAGTGCTAAACAATATATCTGAACATTACAAAGTACTTACATCATTTACTACTTGGCTAAAGTTGTTTCTTTTCTGTGAAGAAGAGCTTTCTGTAAACATGGAAGTGATACACACGATTACTCAATTTCAGTGTTTTATTTATTGTGATTCTAGAAAAATGATCCTTGTACCAAACATGTCACTGAAACAAACCTTTGCATTGTTGACATGCTGATCTTCGTGTTAGATAGCAAATGAAAACAATATTACCAAATACAGAAGTGACCAAACAGATCGTGACCACCAGCATGTTGTTTTCATTTGTTTTGCCTAGAAAAAATAGACAAAGTTTGTCATTTCTTCCATCAAGATAATGTCATTGCTTCAGAAAACAATGACTTATTTTGATGATTTTGGACATTTTGAATACTTCAAATGATGTATGCAAAGTCATACCGTTTCTCCGGTTAATTTCATTTCCAAATATTATCTGTCCACATGTGGCCACAGCGCAGTAGTAAGTCCCAGTATCAGAAGAGCTGATATTCTTAGAGAAGTTGTAAAAACATCTCTTCGGAGAGTCAGATCTCTTCTCACAATTTTCAGCTTTTTTTCCTTCGGCGTAAATCATGTCAGGAAAATATTTTTCTGATCTGGCTCTGAACCAGAACGCACTGGGTTCTCCTGAACAGGTTGTGTTCTCAGAGTCAGAGAGGACTGAACACTGCAGAGTCTCTGAGCCTGTTGGTTCTGAGATTGTTGGTTGTGAAATAACTATGTAGTTCGATGTCCTTTCAGTGATTCCTGTGAAATATTATATT